CAACTGGATAAGGCGACGGCTTAGCGTGGGAATGAGGGACGGCATGTAGGTCGTACCCCACCATCGAAAAACACAGCTCGCCCCGCCCACTGCCATGCGCGACGACTCACGGGTACGTATCTGTTGCTCAGTGCCAGTTGATAGTGGAGATTCCCAAGTCTTCGTCCCTAGGTAGGTCGCGTAGGAAACTGCCTTAGCAAGCTTAGGTAAGGCAGACTTCCTATTGCACGCCCTGTGATTTACTTAGACGAGTCTGAGATTTATTTCCATGCCATAATTGACCAGCCTTTGAAATTGCCAAACCATTATTACCTGTTCCGAAATGTGATGGGACTGGAGCATCAAGACCATGAGCAGAAATTCAAGTACCTGGAGGCATCGCAGCTGTCGGTGTGAGTCTTTCGGTGCAAGTACAAGTACCTAGGCACCTGGTAGGTATGAGGTATACCTTATCTAAGGTAGGTACGGATAAGCGGCGCAGTGGTTGGTGAGTCTTCAAGTCTGCAGTGAGTGAGGTGCAGCTGGCTCGCTTCTGACGGGAGATGAGGTAAGCATCAAGAGCACCTCCAGACCTCTGTACCCGACCGTTAGTGTAGTGTCACTGTAAGGTACTTCGGAAGGCGGCCCTTCGGCTTGCATTCCACCGTTGTTCCATTTACACGGGACTGCAAACTGCGTCATGGGGTCCCTGAAAGCTGGAGCTCCCCATGTCCAAGTGCAGCTGACTGGGGCCGTCTGCGCCCTTCATTCATCCACCTCCATCATAGCCCATACGGAGTACGGATACAAAGATACGAATACTCTGTTCACTACGGATCCTGTGCCTGGGGAAGCACCTGCAGATGGGTAGGCGGCCTCGTGTTCCTTTACCGCGTATTTCCCTTTGATCCAGAACTGTCCACTCTCATGTAAGCCTCCATTACCGACTGGACACCTTACCTCACAGATACCTACCTGCCTCAGAAAAGGTACTTACCGTAAGAGCAAATACCGCCAAAAGTGCAAGTACACGTTGTCCCCTTTGATAGTAGGTAGTGCCAAGCAGCCAAAGCCCCGCGACTTGTTGGAAACTCATTCTTCCTGAGCTCTTCCATCTTCCTCCTTCGCCCAGCTTTACCTAAATACATACAAGATTCCACCAACCCCCCAACCTTGCTCTCTCTCTTGACTTTCGTTCCATCTCTCTCACCTCACTGTCGCCGCCTTAACCCTGCACCACTGCTCCAGTCTGAAACCAGCATTCCTGGTTCCCGCCCAACCAGCTCCAAGCTCCCCCCGAAACTGCCCTCCAAACCGGTCACTGCTCTCCCCGACAGTCGGTCACGTCCTCCCCCCCAAGAGGACTCCGGTGACGCACTCGCACTGATAAGTGCCCGTCTGCTGCTGCCTCTGTCACGTTGGCGCCCGCGATTCTTCGCTCCAGACAGGCTTGGGGACGACACTGCAGACCGCCGAACCTCTCCGGCACATATATCAACAGCTACATCACCGCAACCTCTCGCCGCTCCTGGGCATCCCGTCACACCTCCGCCGAATGGCACTCGGCCCACTCGCAGATCATGGCTCCCGGCGGCGCTGACCGCAAACCAGAAAAGTCCTACCTCTCGTCCGCTGTCGACTCCATCAACCCTTGGGCCGGCAGCCGGAGTTCAACACCGACGCCCAAGGATCCTCCTCCACAGCCCGTGCCCGTCCCGACATCCCGTCCTGGCGATCACAGCATCACCCACTTATACGGCCAGAGCATCAAGACCTACCCCTCCGACTGCCCTCCACTGAACGTCCTTTGGTACCACGCAACTGATGTGAGACTCCCCATCGTCAGCACAAAATTTGCCCACTTTCAGACTAACTCGATGCTGCCCAGGTTCCCAAGCGCAAACCACAATTCCTCCGAGACAAAGCGAAGCCTGCCGAAGATGCCAAGCCCCCGATCCAGCCAAAGAAATTTTTGCCATTTTCCAAGCTAGATTCTCGTGCAATCGAGACGGCGTACCAGCGTTTGTTGGAGGATTCAGAGAAGCGAAGAGGAGAACGATCGTTGCGCAACGTTTCGTCCGGCTCCAAACGTGGTCGCCAGAATACCGACGATGAGGGCGCGCACAGCAGCGTAGAGACCAGCCCGGAGGGTACCCAGACCCCCAAAACGCGCGTTCCCGTGAACGAGGACTACCTCTTTGATGTCGATATCGAAAACCGGGAGCTGGGCCCGGTCTACTGGCTGGGTCCTGTGTATGAAGTGCGTCGCGGCACCTGGTTCTACGACGAGGGTTCGTCTTTGCGGCCATGTGAGGAGAACCTAGCTTCACAGCTGGAGGAGGGGTATCTCAAGGTCAAGCCCTGGACATATCCCAAGCCGCGAGTTCGCAACGACCCGAAGAACAAGGACCCCAAAGCCAAGGATGTAACGCCCAAAGCGTCCGTGGAGAATCTCAAGGCCGCAGCAGCTACAACTCCTACGACTGACGGGAGTCTAAAATCGCCGGGGCCGCAGAACCAACATCAGCCCTCTTCGCACCGCTTGTTTGGCGCCTGGATGAACAACATCGCAACATATCAAGATGCAGGCACCGCGTGGCTCACCTCAGACAGCATGCTCTCGTGGGTGACGTCAACCATGTATGAAAGATTCTCGGGCGGTGGTTACATGAGTGGTGTCAAACTGGTCAGGGGCTACTCTGACGTGGCAAAGAACAAGAAACAACAAAAACAGCCGGCGACGCCGACCGACCCTACAGCAACCCCGCAGCTGGATGAGAAGCAGCAGAAACTGCTCAAGAGGAGGTCTGCGCCACCATCTTCCAGACCGTCGCAGTCAACCGACGAGATTTCCCTGCTGGAGGAGGAAGATGACAGGGAAAATTCCCTCCAACGGCAGATCTCTTCGCTGATGGAAGGGGCTGAGCGTAACCAGGAGGAACAGGAAGAGGAGATTCGGAAAAGAGAGGAAAAGGAAATCGAAAACGACTACAACGGCCAGCTTGGCGAAACCCAAGGGCGAGAAATCGAACATTTGGTATTGGTCACTCACGGTATCGGTCAGCTCCTCGGTATACGGTAAGTCTACAGATTAAGCACATTGTCTACTTGAGAGACTAACTTGCACAGCATGGAGAGCGTGAATTTCGTCCACGATGTCAACATTTTGCGCAAGAACATTAAATCGGTGTATTCCAGCTCTGCTGACTTGAGAGCACTCAACTCAGAGCTGGAAGATGGCCCTCGAAACTGCCGTGTGCAGGTTTTGCCGGTGTGCTGGAGACACCTGCTTGATTTCCCCAAGAGACGGGAAAAGAAAAAGGAACAAGATATTGGTGACGGTGCCCAAGATGAGGACGAATGTAAGTGACCGGCCTGAAGTTTAGTGGACACGACTAATCATTCAGAAGACCCCTCCCTAGAGGACATCACCATCGAAGGCGTGGCTTTTGCCAGGTCCTTGATTTCCGACCTTGCGCTAGATGTTCTCTTATACCAGAGTGCATACCGAGAACAGATCTCGGAGATCGTGCTAAAGGAGTCGAACCGCATCTTCAAATTGTTCATGGAGCGGAACCCAGAGTTCAAGGGCAAAGTCCATGTTGTTGGCCATTCCCTCGGCTCGGCCATCATGTTTGATATCTTGTGCCGGCAAAAGGAGAAGCAAAAGACGTTGGAAACCCCTCGGAATCCCCTCCGATTCTGGCCGGCACAAGAAAAGATGGAGGCCCATCGTGATCGAGAAGCCAATGAGCTGCGATTCGAGTTTGACGTGGAAGATTTCTATTGCCTTGGGTCTCCGGTGGGGTTGTTCCAGATGCTCAAGGGACGGTACGTTGCTGCAATTTCCTTGCTGAGCTTGAGTTGACTAACACAACTAGGACAATCGCGGCTCGCCATTTGCCCAACTCCCGGCCATCAGAAAGCCCCTTGAACCCGGATTTGATGGACGACCCATTCCTCGCCGCGAATCCGGCTTCTCCTACGCATCGTGTTTCCGCGATCACCGGTCTGCCCTATTCAGTCTCGTCTCCAAAGGTTTCGCAGCTCTTCAACGTCTTTCATCCGTCAGATCCAATCAGCTACCGTCTCGAGCCCCTGATTTCGCCTGCAATGTCCACCTTGAAGCCCCAAGTCTTGCCGTACACCAAGAAGGGCATCTTTGGCAACGTGGCGCAACAAGGCCTCTCGGGCATCGGTATGAAAGTTGGCCAGAGTGTCAGTGGGCTATGGTCCAGCTTGAGTGCAGGCATAGCAAGCAACATCTTGAATCGCAGCCTCGGTCTCAGCAACGAGGATGTGGCCAAGATGAACTCGGCCAACTCACCACAGCAGGTTTCAGGAGCGGGCACGAACATTGCAGACAGCGGTGTGATTTCGGATGCGTCGAAGCTTGGGGAAAAGACGAATGAAAGAAAGAAGCAGCTGGCGGACTCCAAGTCGATGATGGGCCGCACCAGCATCAGCGGGAATGAGATGACGCTGATTGACGACGAGCTCGAGACGTTGTATTCCAAGTTCCAGGAGAAGCGGGTGGCACTGGCCAAGACGGACGACGACGGCGGCGCCGCGGACTGGCTCGAGGCAGAGCGTAAGGCGCAGAAGCTGCGGCGGGAGGAGATGAAAGTCCGGGCCCTGAATCGCAACGGGCGCGTCGATTACAGCATTCAAGAGTGAGCAACTGATTTGAGTCTTGCTTGGGTCTATATACTAACACGCGATAGGAGCGTTCTCGACTTCAACCCCATGAACACGATTGCGTCGCACATGAGTTACTGGTCTGACGAGGATGTCAGCCACTTTATTCTTTCACAACTTCTCTCTAATAGAAGCCGAGCAGACCGAAAGTAGACATGTCATAACTTAGACTAGACGTTTGGGATGGGCGACCTGATCAATACAATGGTATTTCACGTTAAAAAGTAAGATGTCTCGTCACGTATGAGTGTCTCGTTGCATTGTACAATTCTTCCACAATAGGCTGGGTATCTTTTTGTTTACTTCTCATCTCTCAACATAACTTAGGCACGCAGAACACCGGCATCAACCAAGGCACCCCAACGAGCAGGCAACCCCTTGGCCACATCCTCGGCCGTCGACCCGTTCTCGGCCTTGAGCGCGCGAATGTCCTCGCCCACATCGTTGGTCAGCCTCACAATCTGCAGCCCTTCAGCCGCCTGCCGCGCCGCAGCGGGGAACACGTCCGTCGGCAACCGCGACGCGATCCACAGAAGCAACCAGACCACCTCCTCCTGCGCCTTTTCCACCGCGACGTGTAGCGCGCTCTTCCCTCCAGCGAGAGGGTCCTGGTAGCGGATCAGCTGGCCGAGCGCGGCGACGTCGCCTGCGAGTTCCTCGTTTGCGTCCTGGAGGAGGGTGACGATGCCTTGGACGTCGCCCTCCGAGCACATGAGGTGGTATGCGCGGGCGGGGCGGGCTTCTGGGTTGGAGGCGAGGTAGGCTTCTTCGGTGATGGTGGGGAGGATGTCGAGGCTGTCTTGGAGGCCGCCTTCGTTTACGTAGCGGGTGAGGATTGCGGGTTCGCCTGTGGGTGTTTGGGTTGGGAGGTAGGTTGTGCAGGAGGGGCAGGTTAGGGAGAGGGCTGTTTGTTCGGATTGGTCTAGGAGGCATTGCCTGGTTTTTGTTAGCTGGTCTTCGAATGGGATGAGAGGGGTGAGCAAAGCGGGTGAGGCGGAGGGATGTACCAGTGAAAGTGGCAGCCGCAGGGGAGCTCGAGATCATCGGGGACGTTCTGGGGCTCGTCGCCGGTTTGGTTGTCTTCGTCTTCGCTGTCTGGGTCGATTGTGATGATGAGGGGGTCCTCGCAGGCTTTGCATACGGCTGCCATGGTGAATGTGGATGGCGAGGGTGAGAAGCAGAGAGGTGATAATCCGGTTCTGTGGTATTAGAGCGTTCAAGCCACAGACGGGTGCTCTAAGAGTGGTGGAGGAGATAACGACGAAGTTGAGGTGAGATTCCTTTGGTCGCGATGAGGGTATCGCCACGGAGGATCAGAAAATTCGAGGTGGGGGCGATTCGGTGCGGGGACTGTGCTCAGATTAGGGAAGCACTGTACCTGGTCCGGGGTTTGCTATGAGCAACACAGTGCATCTTTTAACCAGTGCTTTACCAGTAATGTGCCGGGATCATAATGCATATCTTGGTCAAACTTCCCTGAACCTAGTCGTTCCAGAAAATTGCCTAGAGCGGCCTACGGGCAGATTGACGGTTGGCAATCTATTTCAAGGCTGGGCAGGTCTGGAGAACACTTTGGGCGCTTAGGCATTCATGGGCTAGAGAGTAAGGGGGCGTCTAGTTGCTTGAACTGTGCAAGTGGGCAGCAGCATCAACGGAGCGGGAGATCGATCATCGGGCCTTGCGCAGGGCGAGGTTATTTAGAGATCTTGGGTACTATTGCAATAGACCCTTATGCCTCATGAGACCTTCCAGGCTGCTTTACATAAGCATCATGCAAGGGAAATGATCGTGAGGCGAACCACGTCAAAAAAGAAACAAAGTTGATGGGGCTCCGGGGCGCCGGAAGAGTCGCGCGGACGGCCAGGTCTGGAGTCTCGTTCCCGCGTCCGCCCCCCGTGTTGGAGAGCCGAGAGCGTCGTGGACGTGCAGAACATGTGTTGTGGTGCCTGGCGAGCCACGCGTGCACGTCGTCGTCGATTCTCCTGGTGATGACTCGACGTCTTGGCTAGACTTCATCTCACATAGCGTAGCGACGAGTAGGTATCATGAATCGGGAATGAGGCAAATATGGCAAACGGCAGCCTGAGCTTGTCGTACGCTGGCTTACACAAGTAGTCGTAGGCGAAACGAGAGCGAGCTTGCCTTACGCAAGCCGTTGTGGCTGGTGGCCGTTGGTCGTCGGGTACCTCGGGCGTCTGCTTGGATACGCGGAAGGGTAGAGTACACTAGGTCTCACGGGTACCCGACTTGTCCGAATCCAAACAGGCTTCCTGCGGTTACTCACCTACCTTAAGGTGCTAAAGCAAGGGAGGTACCGCGTTTCTCGCATTGATTTGGGTGGCAGGTCGAGGTACCTTACCTCAGCTTGCTTCAGATGTGAGCACTGAGGAATTAGGATGTACCTCTCGCCCCAGTTTGGGCTATTGGGTACCTATGGGTCCATCACTCTGCTTGAGCGGCTTGCCTCACTCTTCGAAGATGAGGTTTGGCAATGTCCACGGGTACGGCAAGGCAATAGTCCAGGCTCTGCTAGACCACGTGCTGAACATTGCTTCGCTTCACCAGCGTCGCGTTGGGTACCTAGTGTACTCCGTAAGGTAAGGTAGAGGCAGAGTCAAGTGTCGCATCGCAATGTAAGGCAGCCAAAGTCGAGAGCAAGAGGTGTCTTAGGTAATCGAGGCGATGGCTGTACAATTACATCAATGGCCCCTCCCCGCCCCCGCCATCGAACTGGGAGAAAAAAGGTACCTACCTACGTAAGTCTCGCACATTCCATCCGGCCCCCATTGCCCCCTCTTCCCCCCTCTTCGAAGTACCTCACACGCTCACAAAGTCACCTTTCCGCCTTAACACGCGCATTTCGTACCTCGTCACGGCATAACGCAGCACAGCATTTTGCACAGCCAGCCCCCGTTGCGAGCATACCTACCTTACCTTACATACCTATTTTACCTTGCACAGTACCTATACCTTGGTCGTACGGGTACCATACTTACAGTTCCTGCTTACCTTGTGCCTACTTCCATTACCTGAACAACCCTCTCCTGGGCCTTTAACCTGCTTGATTTCTTGACCTGGGTACCAACAAGTACAACCTTGCTTAGCCCCGGTTGACCATCGACATCATCACCCTCCTCCCTCTGGTTTGTTCAACTTGTTTGTTACATACACTTTTTTCTCGAAATACAACACCGACAACATAAACAAACCACGACTGCGTAAGCCAAATCCAACACCTCGAATACCCTACACACCAAGGAATTTAGATAGCAGGACCTAGAGGTACTGCGCCTACGGATACAAAGGACCAACCTCCGTCAACGTCCGTGCGTTCCGGAGCTTCCTGCGCATCTGCCACTCCCGCTTGGTCCCTGATCAAGTCAAGTGCTTCCAACCTGCTCCTCCGCGCCGAGCGCATTACCCAGAGAGACTCCCGTCATCCTCTTCTCTCCACCGTCCACCAGCCTCACCAGCGGCCTCGCTACCCTCAACCTGCCGTCTCCCTCAATCGTTCGTCTCCTTTCCCGCGTCACGCCCAGAGACGACCACAACCATGAACGTTCTCAAGCTTCAGAGGTGCGCACACACTCAATCGCATTCCCTGCCCCGCACCGCTGCGAGTGATTCACTCCCGCCAGCATTGCTCAGGGGCTCTACTTTGCTCTAACCTCTACGTCTCGTCTGCCGTCACTAACCAAGCATTCACCCACAGGAAGTATCCTCAATTCCCGCAAAACGAAATCTTTGGTCTCAGCGACGCATTCCGCAAGCTCGACATTGACGAAAAGGGCTACGTTGACGAGGCCACTGCCATCAAGGCCACCCAGCAGAGCGAGCGCCAACCCTACGATGTCGTACGACAGGCTCTGAAGGAGGTCGACCTTGACTCCTCCCGCAGAGTCGAGCTCGAGGACTATGTTGCCGTATGTTTGAACGGAATCCTGCTATCCATCGCCCTCCAAGTAATGCTAACAACACACCTACAGCTCATTGCGAAGCTCCGCGAGTCCTCTCCTGCTCAGAAACGCATGTCGACCGGTCCCGGTGGTGGTACCGGCGCATCCATTGTCGCGCAAGCAACCGGAGGCATGGGTCACTCTTCAAAGTCGAGCATCGGCAAGATTCACGTCCAGGGCTCCAATGCCAACGTCACCCATACCATCAACGAAGATGAGCGCACCGAGTTCACCCGTCACATCAACGCCGTCTTGGCCGGTGACGCAGATATTGGAAGCCGTCTTCCCTTCCCTACTGACACCTTTGAAATGTTTGACGAGTGCAAGGATGGTTTGGTCTTGGCCAAGCTCATCAACGACAGTGTCGCCGACACCATTGACGAGCGTGTTCTGAACCGACCCAAGAACAAGAAGCAGCTCAACGCTTTCCAGATGACGGAGAACAACAACATCGTCATTGAGTCGTCCAAGGGTATCGGTCTGTCCGTTGTCAACATTGGCAGTGGTGATATCATTGAGGGCAGAGAGCACTTGATTCTCGGTCTGATTTGGCAAATCATCCGCCGTGGTCTTTTGAGCAAGATTGACATTAAGCTGCACCCCGAACTCTACCGCTTGTTGGAGGACGACGAGACCCTCGAGCAGTTCCTGAGACTTCCCCCCGAACAGATTCTTCTCAGATGGTTCAACTACCACCTCAAGGCCGCTGGCTGGAACAGACGGTAAACACTGGGCCATGAAATCAATGCTAGAAGCATGCTAACTTGCGCAGGGTGAACAACTTCTCTAGTGATATTAAGGACGGCGAGAACTACACTGTACTCTTGGCACAGATCGGCTCCGAATATGGCGCGACGAGAGCCCCTCTTCAAACACGAGACCTTCATCAGCGCGCCGAGGAAATTCTGCAAACCGCCGACAACATGGGCTGCCGCAAGTTCCTTACCCCGTCATCTCTGGTCGCTGGTAACCCCAAGCTGAACTTGGCTTTCGTTGCCAACCTGTTCAACACCCACCCCGCGCTCGACCCCATCACCGAGGAGGAGAAGCTCGAGGTTGAAGACTTTGATGCCGAAGGAGAGAGAGAAGCCCGCGTATTTACTCTGTGGCTCAACAGTTTGGATGTGCAGCCTGCTGTGCAATCCTTCTTTGACGATTTGCGCGACGGCACGGTGCTTCTGCAGGCGTACGACAAGGTTATCAAGGGATCCGTCAACTGGCGTCATGTGAACAAGCCACCGGCGCACGGCGGAGAGATGTTGCGGTTCAAGGCGGTTGAGAACACAAACTACGCGATCGAGCTCGGCAAGCAGAACCGTTTCTCGCTTGTGGGCGTACAGGGTGCAGATATCACCGACGGTCAACGGACCTTGACTCTTGGCTTGGTGTGGCAATTGATGCGCAGAGACATTACCGTCACTCTGTCAACACTGGCGCAGCGTCTTGGCAAGAAGGAGATCACGGACTCGGAGATGGTGAAATGGGCCAATGACATGTCTCGCAAGGGCGGCAAGTCATCTGCCATCCGATCCTTCAAGGATCCCTCCATCGGCACCGGTGTGTTTTTGCTGGACGTGCTCAGCGGTATGAAGAGCAGCTACGTCGACTACGACCTCGTCACCCCCGGCCACACGGACGACGACGCCTACCTCAACGCCAAGCTCAGCATTTCCATTGCGAGAAAGATGGGCGCCACCATTTGGCTGGTGCCCGAGGATATTTGCCAGATTCGCAGTCGCCTGGTGACCACCTTTATCGGTTCTCTCATGGCCACGGCAGAGAAGCAGGGACTGTGAAACGATGCGTCTTGACGAACGAGACTTGTTCTCTCCTTCTCTCTTTCTCCCACGCTCGATGTTTCTTGTCTATGAGGATAGAAAAAGGCCAAAACTGCGGCGAGGCTTTGATTGTTTGTTTTTAGTTGAATGAATCCATTACGAATACCACAGACTTTTGTAGAATTGGGCCAAATGTGACTTCTCATGTCTTTTGCATGTATTCTTAAGACGTACACGCGGTAAGGTTTGGCTTCCTTGATCATCAAACAGTGACCATCCGTGTATTCGTGCAATCGTTTCAGACGCACTCCTATGTGGACTCCAAGATGGTGTTTTGTAATCGCACAGATCCCCAGCCTCGCGGCAACTTGTTTACACGTGACATCACAGTATAAGGTAAAGACTACACAGCAGACTCGGCCCCGTAAAGATGCCAAACCAAAAGATGACGTTCCCCAGCACCTTGCGATCCCTCATCCACCTCGTCCGGCTTAGTTGGACAAGCTATACGCAGTCAGCACCCATGTCATTTCCAGACATGTAAACATGATCAAGTAACTGGCAACGATGTGGAAAATAGGGAAAACATATCGAGGGCCGACGTACCGGCAGCTGACACATTTGCAGGAACAGGAGGTAGCCCCTCAGCTTCTTGAACAGACACCACATGACGAGCTCGTGGACGCAGGCGGAGAGGAAGAAGGTGATGAGGGTCGCCGTGTGGCGGTTTACTTTCATGGAGGAGATTGAGCTGTGGTAGACGTGTCGGAGGAGGAAGTTGTGGACGGGGCTGTTGGGTTGCGTTAGCATTCATTCGTCCTTGTGTTGTCTTTTGGATGGGGTAGACGGTGATGCTTACCGGTTCCAGTCGCGGGCGAATTGATCCCATGAAACTGTTGTCACGTCAGTAAGTTTGGGAGTTTCGAGCAAAGGGGTGGGGGCAGACGGACCGCTGTTCCACCACGCGTCGTAGAAGCTTCTGTCGGCAAAGTAGGTGAGTTCCGCGAGGGTGTTGAGGACGGTTTCCCAGATGAGGTACCATGCCATCTTGCGTTTGTCGTTAGTTCTCGTATCTAAGGGGGGACGTTGTGGGGGACATGGTCTTGACTCACCATGTACTCCATCATAAAGGGGAAGATGAGATCACTGAGCATCCAGGGGAAGTAGCGGAAGCGCTCGGCCAGAGGCATGCCCGCCTCCTTCATGGCAATGGTTTGCATGGCTACGGGGTCTGACGGGCGTGTTAGTAACGGAGTCGACAGCATGATGAGAGAACACCAAAGTGTTCAAAAAGACACGAGGACTTACAGATAAAAGCCTGTGACACCATAATCATGACGAGAATGATGCCAAACGTGGCCGCCGTCTTCTCGGCAACATAGTACCAATCAATCGACTCGGAACGCGGGTACTCGAGCTCGTACACGACGGTCGGGAGAACAATATACTCGTAGTGGTTCGCGAGCGAGAGGTTATTGGGGTACGCCCGGACAACGCTCGTCGCCTGACCCCGGAGCTCGTCCGTGATGCCGTCAATCTCCCACCGGATGATGCGCTCAAAGACCCGGACCTGGTCTGCGTCGAGGGGCTGTCCGGACTCGATGGCACGGGCGATGCGGTCCAGATCCGTCAGCTGGTGCTGCTCGTCGCCGCCGCCGCCATCCTTTGCATGCGATTGGGACTGAGCTTGCGCCTGCGCCTGGGCGATGGACTGCCTTCGCCCGTGCATCTCGGCCGCGGAGGGCGGGTTGGCGAGGTGGGAGACGGAGACGGTCGAGGCCGAGGGAGTGGTGGAGGAGGGGAACTCGGTGGGCGCGACGTGCTCCAGCTTCTTGAGCTTGGAGAGGAGGTACTTGCGCTTCTTGTAGGCGGACGAGAGGTAGCCGTTGTAGAAGGCGTACGAGTGCTGCTTCATGAGCATGACGATGCCGTGCAGGACGAAGAAGACGGTGTGCGTCCAGGGCCAGTCGCGGATCAGCGTGAGGCCTATGACGCCGCCGATGAAGGCCGACTGCCAGATCTGGTGGACTGTGAGAATCCTGTTTGCTTTCAAGGTATGGTGTTCACTTACGTTCTGGATAATCCAGCCTGACCTGTCCCAGTCAATGTAGCCGGCAAAGACCAACCGCTGCAATACCCAGCTGACGCCCGTGATGGCGCACAGGACGCCGTCGGAGGCGAGGAGCACGACGACGTCGCGGCGGAACATGGTCTTCATAATCTCGTTTGTGCCCAAGGGGTTCCCCGTCGCCCGCCAGTTTGTGGCGGCGATCCTGGTGACGAACAGCGCGACGGCCAGCCAAAAGAGCGTATAGAAGCCGTGAAAGGGGCTGTTGGCCGTGTTTACGTTTTGCCGGTCAAACGTGGAAAATTGCCGTGTGAAGACGAGGTCGCTGAACTTGCCGGCTCGGCGTGGTCTCCTTGGGTCTTTTTCCTGTCATTGTGTTAGTTGGTCATTACATGGTTTGCGTGAGCGACCTACCCTCTCTAGACCCCGTTTGAGAACATCCCGCAACTCGCGGTCATCCGGGGACAACACGTATGTCTTGAGACGACCGGATCCATCGCGGAGGGGCTCATCGTCGATGCTCGAGGTTTCTGATAGCGTCGATCCGTCTAGTGAGAGCTTCCTCTCACGGTTGGAAGAGTTCTTGAGAGGTGATGCGCCGGGACGAACCGGTGCTCGTCCTTTGCGCGGCCTCGCTGACAACTTCGGGTCATCGTAATCCTCTTCGCTTGGGCTCTCGGAAGGCGTCGCCGATGCTGCCCGGCCCGTAGCCCGTAATGCATCCCGGAGTGAACGGGGCTCCCGGGACGCGGCCAATGAGGTTGTCATTTGGCCGTTCTTTGGTGTGTGTCTTTGCACGGTCGGTATCCCAGAGGATACTACTGCCAGATCATGCAAAGAATCTGGCTCACTTGAGACGAAATAAGCGCCGTGCGGTGATGCGCTTCAAGGCGATGTCGTCTGGAGAGTATCAAGCAGAAGCTCAAACTCAAATGAATTGGCAAAAGTTGGCGACAACCGTCAATTCTTTGCTGGAAATTTCAAGATGAAAATATGAGAGATGATTGTGTATATGAGTTGACGGCGTCACGGTCCAAAGTCGATGTAACGACACAGCCGAGGACCCAAGAACCCGGAAGCCAGTCGACTCGCGCGACTGGGATGCGAGTCCGAGTGTTGGACGATACGGGTACAGAGGTTCGATAATGACTCGGCGCGAGTACGAGAGTACGAACTGTTTCCCCAAAAGCGGCTTGATGGAAGATGGGTGCCAAGCAAGCACAACAGATGGTAGTAAACTGAGAAAGGATGAAACACGAAGACGAGTAGAGAACTAAGACGAATTGGCGGGCAATGATATAAGACCAGCTCCCCGCCAAGTGATGGATTCTACGGGCCTACCGGACTCAGATGTCAGTCGTGGCGGATCGTAGACGCCTCTGCCGAGCTACTACTCCATGGCTGACACGGATGCGAGAGAGACAGAGATGATCTGAGATTGTAGGACAAAGGCGTTGGCAGGAGGCTCAAGGTCGGCCGAGGTTCCCGGTGAGTTTCCTTGCAGTCATTGCCGACGTGACACCACAGCTTTGCGGCTCACGGATGGTACGATGAGGAAGAAACAAGCCCTAAGATTGCGAGGTTTCCGTTGGGGAGCTATAGTCTATCAATCCCGCTTATCCCGCCCCAGGACGGGGAGCCGGGAACTTACAGTAGGAGGCGACATCATGTGGGTGGTGCATGTGGACTCCGATGAAGTCAGGCAAAGTATAAAAATAAGATAACAGATGCAGCGCGTGGGAAAAGACGGAATGAAATGGTGGTCCTCGCCATCCTGAGCACAGGCGATCCCAGTTGATGATTTGTTCGTTTGACGAATAATAAGCCCGATCAAGGGGGTTTTGGTGAACAGGATCCCCGTACTCCGTACAGTATCGCATAACACGTGAAAAGGGGAGACTACTGGTAGATGATTGTATGCCAAGGTAAGACACTGATCTACCCCGAATGTCTCTGGTTGTTGCCTCGATTGTCGTGTTTGGCTAGGTAGATGCCGGAGAAGAAGTCGCGGTCTTCTTATTCGGCCTTTGACGTATTTGTGCAGATGGAATTGTTGAGGAGTAAAGATTGAGTGAGCAACTGGGAGAAGTGTCTCCTTGAAGGGCATGTCGCATCCGAGGAGAAGGCATATATACGTTGTCCATGATCTAAAGTGGAAAGTGGTATGTACTCTGTCTTCTCATTGGCAGTTTTCTAACGAGAAGCTGTCGCATCGTGTGGCCGGAAGCGGAGAGACAGAAACATACTCGCATCCGGGCACAGGCCGAGTTGCCCCGTCGGTGCGTTGTCTAGTGTTTTTGGCCAGAGGATGGTAAACATCGATGTACTCTGTAGATGTCTTGTTACGTTCAATTCTCGAACTGCTATAAACCTTTGGTGGTAGGCAGGAGCTTCGGCAATTCTCGGTGAGCGTGTTGGGTCACCTTGGTCACCTTGGAATGTTTGCAAAATAGGTTTCCTGTCCTGGTGTGCAATGACATCACTCGCACCCGAAGGGGCCGGGTGTACCTGACCTCTCTGTTTCTGGTTAGCTTAAGCAAGGTAGGTACTTCGTCCCTTACCTTCCATTGCTTCTGAGGTGCTGTGGGTGCTTGCTGAAACAGTGTCGCAGTGGGCGGGAGGCACCTGCCAGCGCATCCCGTTTCGACCTCCCCTGGCCTTCTGGAAGGAGCCACACAGCGACAGACTGTCACTGACTAAGGTACCTGGAGCAATGAATGGGAGGCAGGAGGCCCCAGCGGTGACTGTTCCGTACAAAACACCCGCCAAACACTTGATGCGGACTACTTTACGTAAGCTTTTCCAACTCCGAGCGCGGTGCCAACAGAGCAACTGACGTCCTTCCACGTCGTTTTGAGGTGGCCCTGCTCCACCGGTACGTACCTCCAAGCTCGTTTCCGTAAGGCACTCCGTACTCCGTACGCCAAAATCTTTTTGATGCGCCAGGGCCGATCCGAGCGACCTCTCACTTCCTCTCCTCCTCCTCCTCCGACCACTCTCATCACCAAACCACCAACGCGCATCTTCTTCCACCTTCTCCCCCATCGCGAGGCTCTGCTCCATCAGAACCCCGTTCTTCGTTTCAATCTCCATCGCGAGACACACACTTCTCTCTTCTCTACCCTCACATTTCTTTCAGTTTCTTTCAGCCAAAAAGTCAGCATCACCAACATCATGTCGCGCGGTGGCACCACCTTGTACGTGACTGGCTTCAGCCACGGCACTCGCGCCCGAGACCTCGCCTACGAATTCGAACGGTATGTCAACTGAATATCAGAAACTCCCACGTCGATGCCTCCGTCCGTCCTGTTTTCCTCCCGGCACGCGAGAGCCTTCCGAGATTTCCGATCATCTCTCCTTCCCTCGCTGCTCCCCGCCCACGCCTCCGTATTCGTCCTCCGCCCGTCCTCCCGCTCTCGCATTCGCTGCTCCCAGCCTCATGCATCAACCCAAAGATGCCTCCCTCGCCCGTCCTACGTTTCCGTCCTCGTTCTCGCCCTCCGTTCCCCCCGTCGATACGTCCTGTCCTCGTTCGCTTGGGCTGCCTCCTCCCAACCCACCGCCCGTTGTCCGCGCCGCTGTGGCCTGCCAACGCTCCGTGGCGCACCGAACACAATACAGCTTCCTTTTGCTGCGCCGACGACGGCCGACGTTTGGTCTATATCGGATCAAACGGACAACCTCATGTATGTATCTACGTGCTGACGTTCTGACTCGAATATAGCTATGGACACCTTGTCCGATGCGACATCCCTGCTCCTCGCTCGGCATCCAGCAGACTGTGGGTTCACTCTCCTCTCGCGTATCCGCACAGATCCGAATAAAGACTGACACCATGCCAGGTTTGCCTTTGTCGAGTACGAGGACCGTCGCGATGCTGACGATGCTTATCATGAGATGCACAACAAGCGCATCGGTCGCGACGACATCCTGAAGATTGAGGTAAGGCGGTACGAGACGCAGCTTTGAGGGACGTTTGCTGATACGCTACAGTGGGCTCGCACCCCTCCTTCCGCCTCATGGCGCTTCGACTCTGGTCGTGACCGTGAGCGGGCTCCTCGCCGCTCCTCTCCCCGTCGTGGCCGCTCGCCTTCTCCTCGTCGCAGCACCCGCGACTACTCTCCCAGAAAGGACGACCGCCGGGACCGCGACCGCGACTATGACCGTGGCGACAGACGCGACACCCGCGACCGTTCCCGCAGCCCTGACCGACGGTGTGTTGACTCTCCTAGATCTTTCAAGAACTCTCCCAAAGAACCCCCCTTGGGCCAAGGGCCTCTCAGAAATGCCGAATTTGAACTAGTGATCCTGACTGGTCAGAAGTGATCGAGACGCCAAGGAAGACCGCGAAGACCGGGAACCCCGTGAGAACGGTACCAACGGTGACGATAGAAAGGGTACGTAAACCGGCGACTAGGTGTGCGTTGGGCTGCATCGTAAGCTAACACTCGACAACAGCACTGGACAGCCCTCCCCCTGCCCATGACGACCTGGACGTTGCTGCGGAGTGATAAGTATACCTGGCAATTTCTCTTGTCGGGCTGTGCGCGGCTGTGCCAAAAGTTTTTCTGATTTCTCACCCGGTTCTCCTCTCTCTCTCACACCATCTGAATCCTGGATCTGTAAAGTGTCCTCACCTTCTGGGAGATATTTAGTCTCGATGCGACCGGTCCGGCTTCTTCGAGTTCAGCACACGACACCCCGGGCTGTCCGATGTTGGCAGCATCCGAGTCACCAGACATACCTATCCAGACTCGATATCGGCGGGACATACGTTTCGGAAACGAACGCGAAACGGCGCGAAATTATTGGCGAGGCGGTCTTTTGAAAGCATTACCCCCTAGTAGTTAGAAATTGACATGTAGGTTTTTTACAGCAGCCTCCAGATCTGGCCTGATGGCTTAATTTGAAGCTCTTTGACACAATTGAGCTCAGAGTTGACTGGGTTTTGATTTGGTGATAATCCGGCCATGACCCTGATCTGGTTTGGATCGTGTAGCAACCAACCACATACGTTGGTCAGGGAAAACTCCCTCTAGAGCAACGTCTAGTCAAGCAGTCCACGTGTTCATGGTTGCTAAAGCAATTCCTGCGTTATTGAAGCAGTTTGTAAAAAGATTTGTAAAAATATAGCCTGCCGTCTCTGCCTGTTGGGGGCTTTGAAGTTTGTAAAAGGTGTGGAAACGCAACTGGTTGAAATCATCCACAGAAAGACATTGAAGCGTAAGGTAGGCAACATACCCTGTGACTTTAGGTAAGGGTTACTAAACCATTGGCTAAAGGTATTATGTTTAAAGTAATCTGAGAAAACCGAATTGCTACTACCCAAACCCAGCTGCATATTTTGATCACCCATGTACCTAGGTAGTACATATCTCAGGTTGCTTTGCGATAGCGAGCTGCTTGTTATTTGCTTGCTAAACGACAACACAGCAAATAGAACGTTCCGTGATGCAATGCGGGGAAAGCTGGAGGAGGGCGGGGTGATCTCCGAAGACTAAGGCAGGTAGTTGGGTGTTGATAGGGAGGATCCGGAGGGTCGGGGTGCCGAAGGGAGGGTTTCTCGGCAAACTCGCGCTGATGTGACCCGGACGCCGCCGAGATGGATGAGGGGAGAAAATGGAGGCACTGCCGGACCTGGGTCTTGGGATTGGCGGTAGTCGCTTGGGATAGTTTGCCCAGGCAGGATTGGCGGTGTTGAACAGTGTTTGGCAACCTGGGTGAGAATTGCAGCAACACGAAATCCTGGCTGCACTGTGCCGATGGGATGTGGCTATACCTGTTCTATCACTGTGAGTGCAAGATGAGATATCATGAGTTCCCGGATACCAAGATTCTCAATGTGGTCATGTGTTCTTGCGAGCCTGTACCGGAGTCCTTTCACATACGGAAGCTGGCTACCCCATTTTCCCCCAGATTGTCGTCATGGGAGTGGAGTTCAAAGCGAGGAGAGCAACAAGGCCGGAGAGCCCTCCATCCACTCAGCGGAAGCAAGATTGTGATTTCAAGAAGAGAGGAAGTTACCAACTGAAATTGAGCTGTTCCGGCAGCTGCATCATTTTCCGGTTTGATTGTTAACGGGTGGTATCAGCGGATAAAGGGTAAGCCGGGGTTGGTTTCCAGTCTTCAGGTTACAAGAAGCAGCCGCCTCAAGAGGGACAGGTAGAGGTACCAGGCGAGATGTACACATCCCGAGGTTCCTCAGCTGTGGTGACCAACGGACACTTTCCGTGCCCAGAGCCGGCGGGTGAGCCACAGCCGCTGTGGCCCGCGGGGTCCCCTAGAGACTGTCCGCCTTGGGCTGGTTGAAGTGCTGTCAACTGCCCTGTAGCCCTCAAATTTGGAGCCAGTTACATCATCGCAAGTACCCAAGTACTTCGTCGAGGTCCCAAGCAGTCACTTTCCATCTTCCGCCTGGGAGGGAGCTGAAATTCGATCTGCGTCGTTGGGATCTGGTCACTGCGTCCGCCCCTTCACAACCAGCTAATTCGTTCCTCGCGACCTCCAGCTCTTCCTCACACCTCGCCCCTCGACGACCTGTCACCGCATCCAAAGACCAACGACCAAAGGTCTCGGCGCAAAAGCTCCAAGCTTGTCGAGGCTCTGCTCCTACACATTGCGCGCCTTTTGTCAATTACGCCGGCCCCCCTCACCGTCCGTCTCGTCGCTATTCTTTCCTGTCCCCGTCGACCGAACCGACTCTGTTAATACTCGACCTCAACCTCTGCCCGTCCCGACCAAAGGGTTTCTTGCTCGCGCATCCCTCGAAACGATCCTCGTCTGCTTCGTGCCAAATCATCAATTCGTCGAGCACTCGTTTACCCTCGTCAACCGAATCGAAGCGCCCTACCCCTGCCATACCTTCTTGTCATTGTCAGCTTAGCCGCGGCACATGCGAAATACCCTCATCCAAACCCAGCAACCAGAAAAACCCGCGATACCCACGACCACCGCCCAGCCGCACCAGCTCGCGGCCACGAGTCACCTTTGATGCTCGAGTCCTTCTCCTCTCCATCTACTGTCCGCTCGATTATGCCTTCGTCGTCGTTACCATTCTCCTCTTAGAATCTCTGAATCTTTTTTTCTTTGGACTTTTTGGGTCATTCTTTTCCCCCCCAAGCATACTTTTTACTCTCGGCGCTCCTTCTCGTTCCTCCGGAAAGTCGCAAACCTCAGCGAGTACCACGAGATCCTTCCGCCTCCCGCCCTCAACAGCCTTAAATGCAAGCACAGTCATAGCAATCAGGTGGCTTCGGAGGCTCAGCAGTGTGGTCGTCAATCACGAGTTTTGCGCTTGCAATAACACGCACACATCCATCCGCACTGCTCCTTGACCAGAGTGTGAAGTCATGTCGCCTGTAAGTGCTACCCGTTCTCAGCTGCTGCATTTGCAAGCATCCTTCCTGCCCTGCTACATCACTCTGCCCGGCCATCTACCAAGTTTCGTCTGCAGCAAGTCAAAGGTTTGCTGACATCCAGTCTACACTGGCAGTCTCTCAATGATGCGGCGGTTCCTGCTGCTGCTCCGGGCCCAGCTCCGGAACCGGTCAAGTACCTCTGGTTTCGCGATACCTTTTCCCAGCCCGTCATTGCCGCCTTCTGCGCTGGCGGTGTTGCTGGTGCCGTCTCTCGAACCGTCGTCTCCCCCCTCGAGCGTCTCAAGATCCTGTTCCAGGTCCAGAGCGTAGGACGCGATGCCTACAAGCTGTCTGTAGGCCAAGGTCTGGCCAAGATGTGGAGGGAAGAAGGCTGGAGAGGCTTTATGGCTGGCAATGGCACCAATTGTGTGCGCATTGTGCCGTACTCAGCTGTTCAGTTCGGCAGTTACAACTTTTACAAGCGGGTGAGTACCACGCGCCTTTGACCACCTTGTGCTGGGTCGGAAGTGTGGCTCACATGAGCCGCTGCAAAGAACCAAGGCTAACGCGGCACGACCCACAGAACTTCTTTGAGTCTTCCCCCGGCGCAGACCTCTCTCCTCTCGCCCGTCTGACGTGTGGTGGTATCGCTGGTATCACTTCCGTCTTCTGCACATATCCTCTCGACATTGTTCGCACTCGACTGTCTATCCAGACTGCTTCCTTTGCAGAGCTAGGCCCTAGGGCCGAGAAGCTCCCGGGCATGTGGACTGTCATGGGCACCATGTACAAGACGGAGGGCGGTATCTCTGCCCTGTACCGTGGCATCATCCCCACTGTCGCTGGTGTTGCCCCCTACGTAAGTGGTTCCCCTGTCTCGAGATGAAATTGGTCCTAGGCTCTAACTTGACGAAACAGGTCGGCCTCAACTTCATGGTCTACGAGTATGTACGCAAGTACCTAACCCCCGAGGGTGACAAGAACCCCAGCGCCGTCAGGAAGCTGCTTGCTGGTGCCATCTCTGGAGCTGTCGCTCAGACCTGCACCTATCCCTTGTGAGTCGACATGGCTGACGTGAGTTATCATTCGTCTTGCTAACAGATGTAGCGACGTTCTTCGCCGAAGATTCCAGATCAACACCATGACGGGCATGGGCTACCAGTACAAGGGCATCACTGACGCTATCCGGGTCATCATCACTCAGGAGGGCGTCAAGGGCCTGTACAAGGGCATCGTCCCTAATCTTCTCAAGGTTGCGCCGAGCATGGCATCCAGCTGGCTCAGTTTTGAGCTGTCACGCGACTTCTTGGTCTCTCTCAGACCTGATGGTGACGGCGAGGCTGCTCTCTGAGATGAGATGTAGCTCACATTACTTACATCCGATTGGGCTCGTCAAGGGGACCTTCGGTATGAGGATTCCGACGATCACCAGGGTCAACGGAATGCCTTTATTAGACGGTGGCTGGCATAACAGTCACATCGAGGCAGAGAGACTGTCTCTCCCCGGGTTGTTCCTTTCCAACCTGGCATTTCAATAACCAGTGTTTTGATAATGTATTACAACAAGACTCCAAGAGAGGCGAGGACGTCATGCGACTTTCCCGCATGGCATCATGGAAACGTGAAAACGGGCACCGCTTTCCCAGAAGGATCGATGCACAAAGAACCAAATGGGTAGACCAAGCATTAGCTCAATACAAGACATGGATCGAGCTCACAAGAGTGCCTTTTATGCTGGTGAGGTGGTAAATGCCTATACTACGTCAGCTAGAGGTTAAGAATGGGAGCATCTGGGCTATTCTAAACACTTTGTCATTCGTCCCTTTGTGAAGGAATTCTCTGGTCATATCGACATGCACTGGAGTACCTCGGTCAACATTACCTTGACCGAAACAAAAAGGTCTTACCGAGACTGACCGAGGATGCAGGGGACCCTGCAGACTTTCCATAGGGTGGGTCCGTGCAGGTCCACCTTTCAGCAGGAGCGCCCCTCTGGAAGAACAGGACCCACCGGAAAATTTATTGATCCACTCGATGTTGATTTCAGTTGCCCTAAAGCCCACACAGCCCGATTTTTCCGCCTGGCGAGGAGAGCGTAATTCTAGTGTGGCCCAGCGGAAATCTTTTGAAAGTTTCTCTTTTACACCGACGACGACAACATCACGGCCGCCCATTTGACTCAATTCGCCAACTTCGGGAGTCTATCGACAAAATGGGTACGTAGGAATTTCCCATTCAAGCCTTTACATGCGAGTGGAATTGTGCAACGCGCGGTCCTTTTGTGTCTCTCTGATTGTCCTCGTCGAAATACTTGGACATGGTGAGAGATGAATCGGATCTGCCGTTGCCTCTTCTGCGAACTTGGCGCGGCGAAAGGAAAAGGAATCCTCTCCTCACCACAAGATGATGATGCCTTCGTCTCTACTCCTGCGCTCTGCGGGGAGAAATAGATTCGTACTAGAGCTCATCGCATCGTGGTCGACGGATGATGGACTTTTCCCGCCTGCATTCAGAGCATGCTTGAATAAAAAGGCTGACGATTGGGCTCTTCACCCCCGTTTATAGGTATCGATCTCGACCGCCACCACGTGCGCAGCACGCACCGCAAGGCTCCCAAGAGCGACAATGTGTACCTCAAGCTTCTCGTGAAGCTGTACCGCTTCTTGACCCGTACGTTGACCTCGATCCGAGAACCCCGCGACGAACGAAAGAAAATCGACTAACCTTGTGCAGGTCGCACCGACTCCAACTTCAACAAGGTCATCCTGCGCCGTCTCTTCATGTCGCGCATCAACCGCCCTCCCGTCTCCATCTCCCGCATTGTCGGCAACCTGGACAAGGAGGACAAGCGCACCGTCGTCATCGTCGGAACCGTCACTGACGACAACCGTCTCCTGACCGTCCCCAAGCTGACCGTCGCTGCCCTGCGCTTCACCGCCACCGCCCGCGCTCGCATCACCGCTGCCGGCGGCGAGGCCATCACCCTCGACCAGCTCGCCCTCCGCGCCCCCACCGGTGGCAACACCCTCCTCCTTCGCGGACCCAAGAACTCCCGTGAGGCCGTCAAGCACTTCGGCATGGGTCCCCACAAGCACAAGGTACGATCATGTCGCCTGGTCCAGTGGAAATGCTACGAGAACAGTACTAACACCCTCTGCAGAAGCCCTACGTCGAGTCCAAGGGCCGCAAGTTCGAGAAGGCCCGTGGTCGCAGAAGGTCTCGCGGTTTCAAGGTCTAAGCGTTGGTGGTATTTTCCATCATTGCTTGGCTCTTTTTCACTCTGGGGTTCGGTCGTGCGTGGCATGGTCGCGCAGGTATGGACCAGAAGCAAGAACAACGCTATCACAAGACGGGTGGCGTGGGGTTGAGATATCCCCTGCGCTTCCTGTCGTGCTTTACAGGGAACACTTTTTCTTGCATGGTATGGCGTGGTTAGGTATCCAAAAAAGAAGAATTGACGACTACGAAACCTTCTCTTAATGGCGTCGAATGGCATCTCTTGGGCTTGGGTTTTTTTACCACTTTCATTTTGGACTTGCCCTTCTCTGTGACTCGCATATGTGATTGTCTGATGAGTTGTGATTGCCTGTGCCAGGTGTATAATGGGTGTCAATACAGCTTTGGGCAAGGGAGGAATATGTCGAAGGTGAGCTTTGGAGCAACATTGACGCACGTCCCTTTCTCGTCGACACTAACCAGATAGTACTCTTGCTCCCGCTGGTTGAGTCGACGGCAAATTGCCCTCATCAATCCTCAACCACGCTGTCCATACTTTCCATCTTCAACCTATAACATGTCCCAGGCTTTAGCCAGTCCCATCTGCATGATGTTACGTAGACATCGCAGGCGTTCGATGCATATAAGAGACTGCAGAGTGACGTGCGTAACATGCCCCAAAACGTCAAAACCTAACCCTCTCTATGACCTCTCTGTAGGGATCTTTCGTCGACGGAGGTTGTCTCATCAGTCCAGAGTCGATGAGGCCGCGCGTAGGTACTGATGGTTGAACAAAAGGAGGAGTATCCTCCCGACTCAGAGGCTGACATGAGCGGCGGGGGTGGGGATGGGGGCATGGAAATCGACAATGTTCACCATATTTCGGGGTTGCGATGATGGGGAAGAGCAGGGAGTGTTTATGACCTACGACTTATTCTATAACTTATCGTCGGTCCGGCTGATTCTCATAATATGCCCAAGCTGGGGACGGATATTGGGACTCAAGTTGATTTACTCTCGAATTCAAGTGCCCTGTTGACATGTGGAGGGGCCAGTCTCCCCATCTATAGTCCTCATAATGTTAGTGGATACAACTTTTGGCTAGGTTCAAGGTTGAGTCGTTAATATCTTGCGGCCTCCTTGTACCTACCTTCACCATATTCGGGTATTTCAGTCACACGATATTCCGCGAGTAGGAAACCGTACCTGGTGGATAAGAGCATGCCAAACCATGGACCATGATGTTGACTATGAACTACACTTGCTTTGAACCTCGATCTTGTTCGCAACTATCTCAAAACAAACCGGTGTTCCATGACACTGGTCAGCAATGATCCAGAATTCAAACGACTCATGTTGGTATTCCGCCTCTGCTAAGCATTTTAATTTCCTAGATACTGTTGCTGTTGGGAATGGAAGACCTGCTTTTCTTGTTGGCAAAGCTGGCCAGCATTTTATATCCTATAACGAGGACTTCTTGCACATGTTGGCTTCATGTTCCTAGAAGCGCCTTCGATCTTTCCCCTCAATAACCTGGCGTCAAAGCAGCACAAGGATCTTTGCGGGAACCTCCAACATGTAGAAGTTGGCGTTGATGGGTTGAGTCTGCACGACTCTCCGTGTTACATGTAAGTATGCCTGCCGACACTGCATACAAACTGTATCCGGATGCTTCATCCCGTCGGCCGTCGTCGTCAGGAGACCGGGGTTGGACCAATCTGTTTCTCCTATGGCTCTGCCGATCATTACAGCCGATGGGAACTGATACAAGCCTGCCTGGATGGGCTCAGCTGAACTCTTCTCTGCCAACCCCAACTCGCTCATGCATCTAGATGCATTGACACGTGTTGCAAGCCACAATGCGCTTCTACCAGTTGAGATCTCTACTGGTCAGCCTCACGGGCAATCCGGTGTAAGATAACTGAGACACAGCCCAAGGTGTTCTACGCTGGACGTTTTTCTTTCGACCGGGAATTCGTCAGAGACTTCTTGAACTTGGCTCTAGGCTGCAGTTATTCGCTTGCATCGGTCATGAACTGGGTCACATCACATATATCGATATCGATGAAGACATGATCACGAACAGATTTGGGTGTTTATTCTTCTTCCTATCAAGTGGATATGAACTATCAATGAACAATACTCAGTTGGTATTTGTAACCCATACCAACCACAAACACAAGGCTCCTCCCGAAAGCAAGAGAATCAGACGTTATCGAGGGCTACAGCTTGAGTCTGGACCTTTGGATGGGAGCTGAAGCCGGTCTGCTCGATACGCATATGCGCCAAGTGGCTTCTTGTACTCTCATACGCCAATGAATCTAACATTGCCAATGCGGATGGTCCGGCTTGCATCTTCCCTCGGCATATCGAGGCAGTCCGAGATTGAAACCGGTGTGTTGTTGTCTCCAGACCATATTCTGATTGATATACATGCATCTTTCATCACTTAGACAAACCAATAGAACACTTCATCTGCAGGTTAGATCACAAATATTGATGCAATAGTCTGATTGTTGGGATCTCCAGCTTACCAGCATGTTGTTGTCTCTTTTCTCGCGTGGCCGTGTAGCTATCTTGTCTCACTCAAGGCCTTCTAAAAGGGTTCCAATTTCTACATTTGAGGACTTGAGATTCTCCCATCACATAGGCTTCTGGCTTGGAATATGAGTGATCCCGCTCAGCATACTTTCACCATGAGCACCGATCCCTCCGACTGTCCTCAGGACAGTAACTCGACCGACTGTCTACTACGAGCTGTGGCGGAAATTCTGAACGAATCGCGCAATGCCGACGGTGCAAAATTTGATTGGGAACCTTGGAATTTTGGCATAACCGTCTTCATTGGTGCCGTGGCATTAGTCTTTGCCCTGATCCCCATCATTCAGGTTATCATTGCACCTGGACAAGGAAGCAGAACATCAAGTCGCCTTGCCATCGGGCCCTACTGGTCAGAGAAGACAACGAGGAAGTGGAACCCGCGCCAATGGGTCTTCGAGTATACCGTAACCACACCCATCTTTCGCATGAAGACATTGAAGAAATGGATCAAGGAAAACATCGAGGAAGAAAATGAAGGCCATGAAGATTATAAACATGATCTTTGGAGCGATATTGACAAGGTTTGCCCAGAGAGCATAGATAACTCGGAACCAGAAAAGCTAACAATGAACAAGGCTTGTAGAACTGTCAACGATAAGAGAGACACTGGAAAGAAACCGATCGATTTGAGGGCCGCTTTGGTTGAGAGTCTCCGCGCTTTTCTCGCCAAGAGATTGTTACATTTTCGTCGTGAGAATAGGCCCGCTGCAACCTGGATCGAGTTCTTCCAGAAAACTGGTTTGGACGAGATTATACCCAAACCCAAACCTCAAGATCAACAATCCCAAGGCACCGAGCCTCAAGATCCCTTGGGTGAGAGGGACGTTACCGCTGATTACCTTCCCAGCGACATGGTCGCCGCTCCTGCGTACGCGCAAATTGGGGTTATTGTCACGGCCGCTGCAACAACACGAGGATGGGTGAAATGGCCCGACGATCCATCATCGAAATATCCCGTAATCCTTGGCCATGGATTCCAATTCGACTTTCGCCAACATCCCATACTTGGTACTATTGGAGCATATTCGCAGTACAGCAGAAAGAGCCAAGACCGAATAGACCCTGACCAAGCCCTCGATACTCTTTTACCTCAGTGGCTGCGCAGTACTATACAAGACCAAGAGGCTCACCTCAAGATTGAGAAGAGAAGACGTTTGAGACTGGACAGTCTGAACGAACTCCGCGTGGCCATCCTCCACGCGCGCGGAAGTATAGAAGCCCGCGAACAATCGTTGTTCAGGGGCGGGTCCAAGGACAAGAACCCACTGAAGGCCATCAATCTGAAAGGCAGCGAACAACGCACCGAGGCATTGAGATTCCTTTTAGAGGTATCCAAGAAGGACATGGACTCGGGAGCAAGGGATGCATTTATGTTGGACTACGGAGAGCTCTCCCATGACCAATATATGCCCATTGTTGCACTGTTCCTGGCTAGCACGCCACAATTTATTCCTGCAATATTCCCTACGAATTCTCTTCGCAAAATGCCCCCACTTACGATTCTCGCTTTGAGCGGGCACTACTGGACCGAAGTCTCAAAAGAGGCCGTAAGAGGGGACGACTTGTCTGATTGGCCCAAGTCTCTTCAAACCCCTCGCTGGGACACCAATGCCATTCAATGGGTCAACGATGGCATGGATGACGTGGGTAAGGTCAAGAGCGAGACCCTCCACGAGACTTTCAAGAAGATCAAACAATCAATTTACAATTCCTGGAATTGTCAAGGAGGGAACGGATCAAATCCTACTGTCGGCCTCAAGGTTGTACTTCATCTCTGCCTGAAGCTGCTCCACAACGCCGACACTTTCCGGTCATGGTTCGACGAATATCATCCAGCAGTCGGAGCTTACCTGAGACGTCTCATTCTTTTGCAACTCCAACTGCTAGATCTCTGGTTCATGGACGATAAGCACACAACGAGTTCTACCGAGTCTCGTGCAATTCGAATTTGTAACACAACTCTCGTGTTAATGCTGGCGGAAGACATGGCGTCAAGGCAGGGAGACGTGGTTCATCCAACTCCTGATGAATCAAAGCAGACCGTCTTCCGTCTTAACCTTCGCACACTGAAGTGGCTAGAAAATTTGATGAAACCCATAGATCTACCCGAGGAGATTCCGGCAAGGTATAGGAATGATTGGAATCCACAAAAGAGTTTCGATCGCAAAAGTCTCTCGATCAAGAGCGTTCAAAACCAAGAACAAGATGATCATGAGATCTTGGAATCTTTGGCTGCACAGATGAAGCCATACGATAAAGATCTGAGACACCTTGCATGCGATCATTATAACAAGAAGTGGGAGCTGTTCAATACTTGCCGGATGTTGAACAGATTGGACAAAGTGGTCTCTTCTAAGGCTGATAGCGCCTATCGTAAGAGGCTGCCCCGTGAATGTCAAGTAGAAGAAAGCGTGGACGACAAGACGACTGATGACATAATTATATTCCGCTGCATTCTCATATCATTACTCTTCCAGATGGCCCCGGACAACAGCAAACTGCTAGATTCGGGGATCTGGGAACAGGTTGTGGGTATTCTTTAGGGATTTAGGTATACAGGCGCTGTTAGGACACAATGCTGGATTCATTGACTTATCGTCCGAAATGAGCATGTCTACAATTCGTGATTGAGAGATCTGCCTAATGTACCACGTAGCTAAGTCACATAGGAGATGAGACTTGTATCTGCCACCAGCTCCTTGGACATCTCCTTAGTTCTGTTGATAATTCAAGGAGAGTCTGACGCCACAGGCTTGCATACAAAACACAGCCGTAGATATTTCCATGCGTTTTCTAATCATATAATTACCTCATAGCATTGTTTCCAACTTCCAAAACATAAGTATTCACTACATCAATCCGGCTAAAAGTCCGGTAAGGCCTCGATATTACTCCTAAGCTTATGTAGACCCCACGGGAAAGAACTCAAGGCCAAACAATGCTCTTCTCATCTCATCCAATTTGGACATTTTCCACCATCTAGAAGCCCAATACAGTATCAAAGCGGGATCTTCAAGATATCGTTCCATCCTGCTAACATGTGGTCCAACTCATCAGGCAGACCCTAGAAGCAACTCTCCCGCAGTCGCCTCTATCAACCGAAAAGCCGATTTCGGCAGCAGCTTCTTGCACTTGGGACACGCCGGTTCCTTCTTCCTCAGAGTACTCTCCGTCAACTTCTGGAAGAGACATCGTTTCCCAATAAAACATTTGCATTTCTTCATCCGCACGATCGGCTCTCCGCGATGACAACCGCGGGCGCCATGATCAAAGGGCTTGAACATGGCGCCCGGCGAGTGATCGTAGTACTTCTTGTTGCAGACGGGACACTCGAGACGCGACGGTCCTTCCCAGTCGTCGACGTCCTCCGCTACAGAATCGATCAGGGCCCGCCTCGCCTTGTATGCGATGACTTCCGAGTTCCACTCTTGGCGGCGGTCGTGGTAGTACTTCTGGATCAGCTGGACAAAGTACATGAAGGGTTTATGCGGCAACGATGCCTTGTCAGTCGAGCTTGCAATCTCGGCGAGATTTTCCAGCCCCGGGATGGTCGACGGACCGCGAAACACCAGGGGCATGATGATGCTGCAGAGCACTTTCACAGCGAGGCCGAACCGGCTGTTGGAGATACCGTTGTCGTGCAAGAGAACTTCTGCCATGAACTTGACCAGGTTGGCGCGCCTCGACATGGCGCTGGCCTCTAGGGTATGCGCGTCAGTCCACCCGCCGCCATACTCTGCGTTCTGCAAGACCAAGGCCGACGCCAGCTGCATGTGGTCGCGGATGTTCTCGTCCAGCGTCTTGCGACGGCTCTTGACAAGGTAATTCGAAAACAGAGGCTGGTGAGAAAGCCCGCCCCTGAAGTAGAGCTTCTGCGCTTGACAGAAGCCAGAGAGCACTGAATGTCGGAATCTGAACAGGTTCTGCATGGCAGGGTTCTGTATACGCATATCCGACTCGGCCTTTTCCCCGGCCATATCCGTGAGGTGCTTGCGGGCCGCCGTGGCCGGGTTGTAATAGAACGCCAGCGGGCCGTTCGCCTCGCAGGAGCAAGCGCCGACGCGGTGGTCGTTCTCCTTGCACCGGCGCTCCATGAAGAAGGCCCGGAACCACGACTCGCTCATCTCCTCATTCGTGACATCGCTGGAAGGGAACTTGCTCCGGACCCAGAGTAGGACGGAGTGGGAGTACTCGGTCATGTAACTCTGGGCCCAGGCGTTATCCTGGACGTCGTCGCGGTGCCACTCGTCGTGCGAGGGGGTCACCCGGGGCACGGCGGGGGTCTCGCCCGAGCAGCCGGGGCACATATAGCAGTAGAAGCTGGTGCGATTCTCCCATTGCTGGGCCGGGCAGGGGAAGATGTGCGAGCAGAGAATGTTGGCTATGACGCGGTGTCGTCTCTTGGGGGCATTAGGACGCGGGCTGGCTGGGCAGTTGTAGAACTGTAAATGTTTGATACACATGGTTGCAGTTGATGGCGGATGAATGTTTGACTTGTGGCTCGTCTTTGAGAATTTGAAGTCCGCTTTCACATTGGATGATGAGTCGACAACGCCAACTTCTGGTCCTTATCCATCTCTTAAGTTACCACCTGCGGCTTTGTATTAGCTCGAGTGTTGGGCAACATAACGTTTTCCAAGGGCGAGAACGGTTCTAAAGATATCTATTACAGACAAGAATGGGAATCCCTGGGCTTAGAGAATTGCAGACTGGTCGTTCAAAGATGGCAAAGCTCTTGACAGAATCGGCGTCGCTTTGTGCCACTCTCGACGTCGACGTCTCTTTCTCACAGTCGCCCGGAATCGGTGCCATTGTGGACTTGTAGACAAAGAAGGACGTCGACATTCAACGTTAGCAATTGGATGAATAAGGGGCATTTGACTGTGTTTGTAAAATAGTGATGCAGTTGGACTTAAACCATCAAGGCTTATCCTTCTAGCGCCTAAGAGGACAGCTTGACTGATGAGAGTGTGAGAAGAGCTGTGGTGTGTTGGTCTACGAAATTCACCTCGCACATCAGAAGCCCACTTTTGAGTTTACCGTGTAAGTCAGAAAGCTATGGGATAGATCTCTAAGGTGCAGGGGCACATATTTACGACTTGTTCTACAATGATTCTCAAGTCCAAATTTCTGGATGTTTAGTGCAGGAGCCCGACGTCCTCAGAGTCTCCGAGAAATTTCACAAAAACATGACACAGATGTCAGTAGTCTACGGTGATTGGCGGCTTAAATTCAGCGCAGTCTGCGCTTCGAGAGTCGACAAAGAGTCTGTGTTCTACATCAACGCGGCGCAGTAAGTGAAGTAATCCCCAGCGCCAGCCTCCAGCCTCCGGTTCCGCGATAACAGACCGCCGGTTCAAGATATCCAGAGAGTTCTAAGTACCTTATTATCGAAGAAAGTTAATTCTTTCTAAGTTATAAATATAAAAATATAGTTTTAATAAAATAGTATAGTACCTACTTAATACTTAAATTAAAATACTTTTTTAAACTTATTATAAAAAAAAAAAAAATTATATTATTAACTACTTACTATCGAAGTTTATAAGTAGTATTATAATTTTAATTATTATAGTTTTAATTATAATAGCTTTGCTTATAATAAGTAAAAAGTCTAATTATAAATCCTTTAAAAGCTTTTTATTAAGAGCTATAAGAGCCTCTAAGTTAAGTTAAAATACTTATTAAAATACTAATAACTAAACTAATTTTATAATAATAGTTTTAATAAAAAAACTAAAAAACGAACTAAGAAATAATATTAGAATCCTTATTAATATTAAGTATAATTTATAAAAAATAGTAATATAATTATAAAATATTAATAATATATTTTATATTAAGAAAATTATTATTAATATTAATAAAATAGATAGGGCCGTATTAATATAATACCTCGGCTTTTTTTTATAGCTCGAGGATTATAATTTTAAATAGTATTAAAAGTTTATTAAAAAGCTCTTTTAAGTATTTTAATATATTTATTATTATTTTTATAATAATAAGACTTCTAATACTTATATACGAGTATAAGTTATTTATTTTTAAATAGTAATATTAGCTTATTAATAAGCTATCGAAATTACGATTTTAGCGATTTTTTAATAAAAAAGAGGGTAGAATAAAAAAAAGGATAAGTAATTTATAAAAAGGGTTAAGGTTAAATAGTACGGAATTCGAGGGTAGGGTAGCGTCTATATGTACTGCGGTAATCCTCTAGTAATATAAAACGATGGAGTTAAATAGTGATCCAGAGAGTTCAGTCTGTTGCGTCGACATAGTAGCCAAGTTTGCGTCTCCTCGGTATCAGCATTTGCAGAAGCCAAATACTGTATCTTCAAAATGCCCCCTCAACGCCCCTAACAAATCCCGCACGATCAAGTTTGCAGTCTAGGATTGATAGTAGTGTTTGCTCCAAGCTACAGGGATATCCCCTTAGCGAAAACGAAATGGTTTGCCAAGTCCCTGTCGCTGCCGTCTACTCCTTACGTGGGCCGCGATCCCCGTTGCTCGAGCCAACGTCGATGCGGGTGGTGCCAACGGCGATCGAAAATCGCCGATGTATCCTTGTCCCAGATCGTGTCTTTTGTGAGATGAAATGAGCTGGCGTCCTATGCTTACGCTATAACGTGCGAGATCCGAGATTCTGGGACGGCCAGACGGCGAGGGTGCCGGGTGTCGACATGTTGGATCCCGCTGGACTCCATTTCCAACGTCAAGCTGCAAGTGATGAGGCTCTTTGACCCTACGAAAGGGAAATCCATCACCAATGATGATACGGAGTTCGACTGCTACAGATATTGATAGACGAACCGTCTGTAAAAAGTCTGCTTTGCTAATGCCACCGTCGACTCCCCGACTCTTCTCTCACATCTCGCTCTCAGTCTAGAACTTGGCATGGCGCTGGTCCCAAAGTAGAACACTTGTTTGGACACGACCAACAGGTATGTTCACCACATGAGATTGTTTGCTCGCGCCACTCACACAATCGTGCTTCTCCTCCGAGTCTCCTATTTTCTTCGCTTCTTGCACAACCCACAGGGGGAGGGAAGTGAAAACGATCCCTTGCGTTCGGCGAAAGTCCATGTTCCTTGTCCGTCCATCGCCGAATGCTCACCTTCATATAGGAACGCCAAATGTCCCTAGCAGTAACACAATGTTAGCCTGAATCTCCCTTCGATCTGCGTTTCTGCCCTTCTCTATTCTTTCTTTCTTTCCTCCCCCCTACCCCCCAGAAACAAACCGGGAATGGTGGCATTTTCAGACACTGTCAGCTCCCTCTCGTCAGGCTGTACCATTGTCGGGAACCTGGTGGTATCAGCCTGCATCCCATCAACAATGTCCTCACAACCGCAGACCGCCGACCCCAACGCACCGCTCTTCGGCGTCGCCCACAACGTCTCCCGCCCGGCCCTGACAGCCTACACCTGGGCCAACGTAGCCACCTCGTACATCTTCCTCTCCCTCCGCCTCTTCGTCCGCTGGCGCCGGAACCGGCACCTCCTCCGTGACGACGTTTGGATGGTCTTCGCCTGGCTGTGTCTCCTGACCATGGCCATCCTCCAGATGCAGCAGATGGACTCGCTGTGGTACGTCGTCGAGCTCGAGGCGGGCAGGTTCGTCCCCGCGTCCAAGAGGGAGGCGGAGTTGCAGCTGGAGCAGTGGTTGCGCTGGTCGTATGCGCTCACGTATCTCTTCTGGACGGGGTTGTTTGCGGTGAAGGCGAGTTTTTTGAATGTGTTTTTCAGGCTTGTTAGTCCCATCCCGTGGCTACGCAAGGTCTGGTATGGGATTGCCGTGTTTTGTCTCCTTTCGTATATTGGGGGATGGCTTTCGGGGTCGCTCATTTGTGATACTCCATCCGACTACTTCCGGGCAGGTAAGTTCACTCCTAAACTCGCGGTAGAAATCTCTTGCATCTGATTCTTGTAACAAGGAAAATGCCTCTCCCCGAAGGAAGTCTACTACTACCGCTTCGCCATCTTCTTCGCAACAGCAGCCGACGTCTTCACAGACCTTCTCATCATGAGCCTACCCATCGCCGTCCTCCCCTCCCTCCAGCTCGACATTCGCAAAAAGTTTGGTCTCGCGGTAGCCTTCTGCCTGGCCCTCATCACAATCCTCACAGCCATCGTCCGCATGACGCAGGTGCTGAAGGGCGAGACGGTGGACATGGTGGGCCTGGCCGTGTGGAGTCTCACCGAGCTCGGCACCGCCATCATCGTGGGATCGCTGCCGCCACTAAAGGCTCTCTTGACGCGCGGGATGAGAAAGTATAACGGGAGCAGAACGAACCGCAACAAGTCGTACATCAACTGCAGAGGTGAGCCCGGTAACGGATACGGCCCGAATAATACGTCTCGGTCCGTCATGGTTGCCGAGTCGATCCCGTTGGACGACAGGCATAGGAGCGAACAGTTTGATGGGGGAATATATGTTCAGAAGACATGCGAAGTTCGTGTAGAGGGTGCTTCGAAGAGAACGAATGATGAGGAAGAGGGAGTTGTGACGAAGAGTTTTGCTGCAAATAGACCTCCATAGACTCCAAGAGTTCTCTACCGAGACTATGAATGATTACCAAGACACCACGGCCCACGACAGGTAAGATGAATAGAAATTATATTTAGGTCGACGCATCATGCTGTAATGCTGATTGTAGCTCTGTGTAGATGATATGGCGCCTTTGGCGAGAACGCCTAGTCGTCCGTCAGTCCGTCCCACTTTCGACATGCTGCCCGGCTTGTGTAACAAAAGAAATGAACTGAAAAAAGCGAATGCAGACGCGGCGTAAAGCAGTAGGGTATCTTCAGCTCCCATCCTCAACTATGCCCAGGTTCTCTGAACGCCACTTGTGTTTGTTTGTATACCCAAGAAAATTCGACAAAAGAAATAAAGGATAGCGCCCGTATCCATGAAATGCAGTAAACCATGCTCATACCGAGCCACGTAGCCTCACTCTTCTAACACCTCTCGAAGTGCATCGACGTCCACCTGGTCAGGCGACACTTTGCTCGGAGGACCGCGACGCTGATGCGCCGCGAGGTATTCTTGGAACCCTGGAATAGCACCGGCCTGATTGATGCCCGGCGGTCTGAGAAATTCCCTTTCCTTCTGCTTCTCTTTCCCGCTGCGTTGTGTCGGTGTCGGTGTGGGCGGTGCCTGCGTGGGTGTTGTGGCTCGGCCTGCTGCCGCGCCAGTCCAAGGCCTCCAGCTAACCCATCGACCTATTCCTGCAGAGTTCTGCGAACCTTGAGAATGGGTGCTTGCTGGCGAAGCACTTCGAACCGGAGTGGAAACCATCCTCGACACCGGTCGCCCTGCCAGACTATCGCGAAGCAAGGCGTCACTCCGTCGATCGCTTCCTCTCGATATCGTTGACCGTGCCGTGACTCCAGTGAACACAGCATCGGCCCCACCCAGAGGACGAAGGGTCAATTGACTCGGTCGTACTTTGAGTGTGTGA